AGAATAATATCGTGCCAACGTAGACCTAAGTGGTCATATTGGTCTTTATTAGTGGCGGATTCAGGATTCCAAACCCTGGTAGGCAAAAACTTACATACAAAACTTGACAAGAACTTATAATAACACTATACCAAATTTTGCCATTTGCAATGGATAATATCGTTGCCAACAGTTGCCTATAACATTGCCTTTATATATTTACAGCATCAGTTCTATAAATAAACACTAATGCTAAAGTTCCTTCTGTATGCCAAAAAAACGTTGATCCAGATGCCTAAACCTACAATGTCATTGGTAGTTTTAATAGTTCCGATGCTAAATATGGTTTATAGCATCAAAATTTTATATTACACTAATGCATTTTCCGACTTACAACATCACAAAACCAATAGAGCTGATGCTACTTCTAGTTATAGGCATAAGTTATCTTATGAGTGATGCTGTTAAATTTTGAACTTTAGTTGTTTATGCAAAATTAAGGTTGTTATGAACAATATCATGGTGTGTTGCCCATTGTACATCAAAAAACATATATAAATTTAAATATATCCAGCACTTCCATAAATCACAATTTTTCCAACCCCACATATGACAACAATTTTTGCAATTTACATATAACAACATATTTCTTAATTTATCAACCTTGAATTTGAGTACAAAAGAGAAATGTAGTATAACAAACCAAATAAATATAAATTAAAATAAGTAACCCTTTATTAAAATTATCATAATCAATTCCAACCAAAGACAAGAGGGAGTTTGAAAATATTTGCGAGGGAGCATGGAAAATATTATTTAGGAATTAGGACTGCAGTAAAGAAACCATATAGGAAATTGAAATTTAGGTGTAAAGACGTAGACAAGTCGGGAATATGAATAATCATTTCATATTGGATAGGTATTGCTATTTTATGACATGGAAAATGGTGAAAGTATGGTTACCCTTTGACTAGCTAATTAATAAAGTATAGCTAAATATAAACATTCTAGCCATTGCACTGGTAGTCCATGATTAAAGGGAGCCACTGTTAAGCGCTACCTCTATACAAATAAATGGGAGAGTAAACCCAGGGCGGAGGTGGAGATAGTTTTCTACAAATGCAAACTTGGCTTACATGTAACATGTTCAAATTTGGATTATATCCAAATTTAGAAAACATGATTACGACCTCTATTTTGTCTTGACTCAACATTCAGTCATCTCCCACCTTAACATTTTCTAACGGAATTAACTGTCATTCAGAAATTTTTGGATGGTGTCTTCCCTATAAATTCCATGCCTTCTCACCGTACCAAACCAGAACAGAGCTGTAGGGGCATCCGAATCCTTCCTCCAATAAGCGAAGCCCCAACAGCGCTCTGTAGCTCACCGGAAAAGGGAAAAAATTATAAAAAAAGAAAGAAAAACATAAACACAATCCCAGTTTTGATTACTTCTTTCTTCTCCAATTAATTCTTTTTCTTTCTCGAAACACACGTGCGTTACCAGCGTTGTTGATATAGTATTAATTTAGCTTAAATCATCGGAGATGGATGCCAAGAAGAAGAAGATGATCATCATCGGTGTGGTTGTTTTGCTTGTGGTGGTGATTGCAGTGGGAGTGACGGTGGCTATCATGAAATCTAAAGCCCAAAAACCCGCCAAACCCGCCGCCAAGCCCGCCAAGTCGAAAAAGGCCATTGAGGCGATTTGCCAGCCGACCAGCTACAAAGAAACCTGCCAGAGAAGCCTCGAGAAGGTGGCCGGTGACACCACCGACCCTAAAGAGCTGGTCAAGGCCGGGTTCCAGGTAGCAGCGGACAAGGTGAGCGAGGTGATCCAGAACTCGGACACCTTGAAAGATCTGGCAAAGGATCCCATGGCTAGCCAGGCTCTGGACGTCTGCAAGGAACTGTTGAACACCGCCGTTGAGGATCTCCTCGGCGCTGTCGATAAGATGGGGCCTTTCGAGATCACCAAGGTCGATGATTATCTGGAAGATCTGAAAGTGTGGCTGAGCGCGGCCGTCAATCACCAGGCGACTTGCGTAGATGCGTTTAAGGACACCAAGGGTGAGGCCGGGGACAAAATGAAGGGCTTTTTGAAGACAGCACAAGAACTCACAAGTAATGGGCTTGCCATGGTCACCCAAATCTCCTCCCTCTTGGGATCCCTCAACTTAAACTCTCGCCGTAGACTCCTCACTGCGAAGAAGAGCAAGAGGAACTACCAGGCAGTGCCTTCATGGATGGGTGCCCGCCAGCTGCATCTCTTGACTGCCACCCCACAGAGCCTGAAGCCCAACGTGGTTGTGGCTCAGGATGGGACTGGCAAATACAAGACCATCAAGGAGGCTTTGAAGGAGGTCCCAAAGAAGAGCAATGAGACATTTGTGATCTACATTAAGGAGGGAGTTTACAAAGAGCAAATCATCATTGATAGGCATATGACCAATGTCTTCATGATTGGTGATGGCCCTACCAAGACAAAGATCTCCGGTAACAAAAACAAGGCAGATGGCACCGCAACTATGAATACTGCAACATTCGGTACGTAACACGCACTTAATAACTAACATGACTATTCATCAAATATTAATCAACCATGACACATCATTTGGTGAATAAAATTAGTAAACACATTTGATGCCCTAGCTAGCAGTATTCATTGATTAATTAATTGTTTTTGGTAATAGATTTATATCCTAATTCTAACTCATTTTCTTGTTTATTGCGTCCTTGCAGCCGCAGTTGGAGACTATTTCGTTGCCAAGGACATAAGATTTGAGAACACAGCAGGGCACATCAAGCACCAGGCCGTGGCACTGCGCGTGCAATCTGACTTTTCCATCTTCTATAACTGCCATATGGACGCGTACCAAGACACCCTCTACACCCAAACCTACCGGCAATACTACCGGGACTGCACCATCACCGGGACCGTAGACTTCATCTTCGGGGATGGGGTGGCGCTGTTCCAAAACTGCAAGATGCTGGTGAGAAAGCCAGGGGATTCACAGTCTTGCATGGTGACAGCCCAAGGCAGGACCGACAAGAACGAGATCACAGCCATAGTCCTCCAAAACTGCACCATCACTGGTGAGCCAGAGTACATGGCTGTAAAGGACAAGAACAAGGCTTACTTGGGAAGGCCATGGAAGGACTTTGCAAGGGTGGTGGTGATGCACTCACAGATTGATGAGGCCATTCAGCCTGAAGGGTGGATAGAATGGGCTGGTTCCATGTTTCACAAGACTTGCTTTTTTGGTGAGTACGGCAACAGGGGTCCTAGGGCTGACATGGCCCAAAGGGTCAAATGGCCAAGCATCAAGAAGCTTACTGCCAACCAAGCTGCCACTTTCACCCCTGCCAAGCTCTTTGAGGGTGATCGGTGGATCAAGCCCAGCGGAGTTCCTTATGTTTCTGGCATGGTGTCTGCGTAGATTACAAATGAAAATCATAAAACAATTCTTTTTTGGTCTGTGAAGAAAAAAAATAAAACTTCATAGTTTGATTGATTTTGTATCTTGTGATCTTTTGGAATCCTATTCCCGTACATTTTTCCTACACATGCATACCCATTGAATGATGATAGAGATTTTTTAATACAGAAATGCTTGTCATACCACATTTTATATACCACCTCTAAAAGAGGTGAGCCCCATTGGATTGGTGAGTTTCACCTCTATTAGAAAGGTGGTACACAAGGTAGTATGCAAATGTGGTATGCCTAACATTGCTCTTTTGAATATAATGGTGATCGAGGTAGCATGGAGAAAAAAAAGAAATTAAATAACTAGTAGTGATAACAATTAATGACAATAATATATATCCACCCTCCCAACCCCAAAGATTTAGAGTGCTGCTAAACGAACCATAAAGTTAACTGAGTACACCCTAATATTTAAATCAAAATGTAAAATTAACTAAGTACACCCTATTTAACTACCAAAAATACCCCTAGTATACCCTAATACACTCTTATCACACCTTAATACCAATCCTAAACCAAGTTTCTCTTTTTACATGAATTTGTACCCTCAAGTTCAGATATTTTAGAAAGAAAAGGTTGACAACTTCAGCTGGGAAATCATCTAAAGGTTTACTTTGCAAATCTAACACATTAAGCATTGTAAAGCCTGTGGGGAAGAACCTCTGCAGTGATGGCTTCTCAGCAACTCTGAACATAAAGAGGGAACGCATTTGAGAAGCAGACATGTCTTGTTGTACATATTTCAGTGTGTTAAGTATTGAAAGGCACCAGACTTTGTCTGGCCATGGTACATTGAACTCTTTAGCAATTGTGTCAAAGTTCTGATCTCTTGTCTTGGAGGTGATAATTTCTCGCTAAAGGTCATGAATATGAAACTTTTTTACCTTTCCTTTAGGTGTTGCCTCCGTCAATGCTCGTTGCGTTGTTCTTTGTGGGCACCCAGCAATATGAAAGCTTCTCTACATTTGATTAAGGTTGAATATGGTGAATAGGGTGTACTTATTAAAATTATATTTGTTTCATAATTCAATATATATTTTTCATCATTTTATATTAAGATAAATTAATAATTCAATATAAATAGTTAGATAATATGGTGTTGATTTTAGGATTCGTTTAGCTGCACACAAAATTTGCTTTTTAAAAGGGGGGGCTTAACATTATGGGACAAATAGAAGCCCATGAAGTTATAGAGATATTGTTTGGGTCTGTTTTTACCCAACCTAATAGTAATAGATTAGCGAATTGGGCCAAGTCGTGACTTGGACCTTCTAAACGGGAAAAGGGAAATTATCTATTGACTGCAATTGACAAGGGGAAAATAAGTGGCATGCATCCATTATATCACACACCTAAATTGTTTGCTTGGCGATATACCCACCTATTTCTTTCTGACAAGCAAATTCTCCCAATCGGTCTATGAACTTCGCCAGGTGGCAACTCACAAATGGCTTCTTATCATTAAAGAATTAAAATAATTAAAATAATAATAATAAAAAAACCCTCACATCCCTAATGGGACAAGGAATCTATCCCAAGCGCTCTACAAACTCGCCAAATGGCAACTCTCGATCTCAAATTGTTTCCCACCAGAACTCTGGGGGTTTGTTTTCCTCCCAGAAGAGCAATAACGGCAACCGCTCAGCTGACCGTTGAAATGAACACAACCGAGAAGAAGATATTCGATAGACTCTTGGCAGCACGTTCGCCATTTTGGCTTTGGGAACCACCTTGGAGTCGCGGGCGGATGGGTTCGCGATAAGGTTCGTATGCATTGATAAATTGGTTCCAGAGAAACAGAGAATTTTTGCTTCGAATTTTAGGTACTTAAATTAAAAGTGTGTTTTGAATTTTGCAGCTTGTGTTGTGGCACAGCAAAGAGGATGCAAAGAGAAGGGGATTTAACCATTAGCAGGTATTTTTCTTCCTTAAGAATTTGATGTAAATGAGAACCAGAGGTGTGCTCTGTTGGTATCTAAACTGGAATCAATAAATCTATGTTTCTCTCTCTACAGTAGATACACACACACAGACACTTCCTTTCCCAAGTTCTAGCCTTTTTATTCCGAAACAAATCCCACTCCATTCTCGGTTCTCCCCTACCGATTCGGTCGAAAATATCATGAATGTTTCGCAGCTTAAATCTGGAGGATCACTAGTTGGAGAATGGATAAACATTACAAATCACATTCATATACTTAGTTCTAAGGGAAGACACAACAGCTAGCTACTAACTCCCGATGCTGACTTTGTCAACTCCTGTTATGATATGATTAAGTAGAGAATTTCTCATACGTGTTTTGCTCCTCTTGATCTGGACGAGCTTGTCAAACAGACACCATGGAAAGCTTAGGAAATGATCTCTTTCCATTCCCTTGTTGCCGCAACCCCAGTAACGAGGATGATATGTAACATGATACCAAGCCGATGCTTTTGCTGCATGCTCATCATTGATATCAGGGTTCGTATCGGACTGCATATCACTTCCCAGCTTCTCATCAAACCAGGCCCTAGCTTCCTTTTTCAATGCCTTTATAGCGTAATGAATTGACTCCAAGTCGTTTTCCCCGTTGAATCTTTTTGATACTGCAGTGATGCTCCCAGTTAGTATTTCGGCTTCAGTTTTGAAACCATAGTCATCCATCAGGTTTCCAAGCTTGTAGTCATATTCCCTTTTGTAATTGATGGCATCTTTGACGTAGTTTTCAAATCCATCTACCTCCATGTCAGGGTCATAGAACTTCAAAGCCGTTAACACAGTGAAGGCTTTAATCGTGGCCGAGTTTGAAGGTGAATCTGATGCAAGCTCAAGATCTTTCACCTGTCGGAAAAGCTGCCCAATCACACGCTTGGACTCGTAGGTGGGTTTGTCAACCTTTTCCATAAAATCAGGGAATTCATGGACACGAAGGTGGCTTGGCACTTTCACTACCACACCAGTTTTCGGAGAGTCGACAGCATGCGAGTTGAGATGGGCGAGCTCGATACATGAATCACTGTTAGCCTTCTGGTGCTCTCTGTCTGCAAAGACAATATGTGCATGACAAATTATCCCCAAGTTGTCGTTCACTATGAAGTTGGTAAAGGATTCCTCAACCTCCTGTAACAAACACAACAGAACACCATGAATGAGGCAGAGACAAGATTCGACAAGCGAAGAAGTATATATGTTTCTAATATTATTGACTACATTTTAGTTGATGAATTTGAGAAATACCTCCATTGTCACATCATGATCCAATTTAATAGTCTGTGCTGGGGTATAATTCATGGGTCGAACTGGCTGAGGAGGAATTAGATCAGGGTCCCAACTGACAAAGTAAAAATCTCCATCTAAATCACTCCCCGAGCATTCATTGGGATGAGGTCTGATACAATACAATGAAAGAAATATAGTCAGTACGTAAATAGTTTGAAGGCAGCAAATTATTGTCAAACAGATCTTCATCAACTAAAAGAATCGACAAAGTTACTTGCCTCTTTCCTTTCTGCGGGAAAACTACACAATCCACCATGTGGTGCAACGCCGGCAAGTTGACAGCCTCAAGAACGCGAACATCCCCTGGGTGTAAACAGGGGTTTTTGGCAACCACTACTTTTCCCCTAACAATAAAATTGTCATCACTTGAAGTATCGCTCCTATTGCAACCAAAGATCTTCCGGCGAGAACATTGCACATATACTTGACCATATTCCAATGTCCGGGTTTCATCTAGACATCCCATCAAGGATCTTCCATCTGGAACAAATATCCGTGTCTTGCTCCGCAGTTCCACAAGCTTGGACGCACAGAATGCTTGTAGCATCAATGACAGAAATGGTTCTGCATCTGGCTTATAACCACACACAAGCATTTCCTTTAAAACGTTGGTGAAGACTCCCTGGAATATGATTTCAAGTGCTTCCTGCGCTCTTAACGGGTCAACCAAAACACCTTCCAGCTGTTTCAAAGCCTGTTTTTGCTTTTTCATAAAAACATGATCAGGGACTCCGAGGGTGGACAGAAGGGTGATCACTTGACGGTTAAGGAAACAAGCTTGGTACCTGCTCCATGCCAGAACATCGAGTGTTGTGTTGTTGGATTGGTACTTGCACATGCTATCTCGCAGCGCCAACTTCTTTGACAATGTAGGATCAACTGCCACAACACCTTTATAGCCGCCGTATCGAATTTGAAAGGCAGACGGAGTAGTACTTTTGCCGCACTTGATTGCCACTCTTCCAGCAAACTCAGCAGATATCTTCCCAATTCCATCAGAGAAACAATATTTGACTCCACCTCTTTCAATTTCGACATCGGGAATGAGTTCGATTTCATCCCTATCAACATCAAAAGTCTTCCAGGAAGAGCTGAAAGCCTGACCTAACCTGGCAGCATATTTTGACGCATTTCTGATGTCGCTAAAATCACCCATCCAGTTTCTGATGTCTTGTGCAGTCAGCTCACTTGTTGATGCAAACATCCACAGAGAATGCTCTCGCAGTTGACTCGCCGAATGGGCAAGAAACTCAAACTTCTTTTGACCAATGACTATGCCATTTCTTAGAGTAGAAAGTATCCTGTCATAAACTCCAGTTCTCCTTTCCTCTTCTGTAGAAGTTGTACAATTCGTAAGTGGGCGTAAATCTCTTGAATGTATGAGACCCATGTCCTCGTCCACGAAAGAAACACGAAGAAAATTATCAACATGTTCAGAATATTTACGTAAAACACGGTTGGATAGATTGGCCTCTGGACCACAGAAATAAACTTTAGTCGGTGTTACTTGAACCCTGTGCACATACACCATCCCATCATCTAAAGAAATAGCAGGCGACTGAGGAATTCGCTTGCATGCCATGTACTCTCTGTACTGCTCGGTAAGCCAACTCACAGGTTCATAGCAGCACCCCTTTAACCGAAACAGCTTGTCCAGGGCACACTCTATGTATTCAATTCTTATTCTACTAGGATCAACTAGCTCATAAAAATTGACATCAAGTGCTTTCCCGGGAACACATCCATGCTGAACCAAGGAATTTATCTTAAACAGGATTTGGTATGGCAAGTTAATGCCCATGGGTGGACCTACTACAATAGGAACAAGATCTGAATTGCAGGAGAAAGTTTTGCCTTCCTCCAGGACGAACCGTCCTTCATTTTCTTTATAATCAACAAAACACTTGCGCAGATTTGGAAGCTCACACCTAGGTGGAAGTTCCAAACATACAGCAGAAGATTGCCCAATGCAGCATGAAGGAGTGAAATCAACTTCTCGAACCCAGCAATTTTGAGAATCTTTCTTGAAAATCCGAGGGGCACGAAGTAACTAGCAAGAGGAAGAAGAAAGAAGGAGCAAAATGTTAGTCCTTTCACCCAAGTTCCACACATAATATAATAATTCTGCTGTTCTATAAGGAACAGGTCAGTCTGTTTCAACAGTATTCGAATTCTTTGAGTCGAAACAATGAAGATATAGTGTTTCAGCAATTGACATGAGATCAGATTATCATGCAGGAACTAGTGAATGCAAGACAATCTTATTCAAATATCTACTGGAATTGGTAAAAGCCACGGCTTCTACCTCAATGATAAAAATGATGACAGGATAACTTTCATGCTTCTTGATGTGGGAACGAACAGGGTTAAATTAAGTATACATATTAATCAACTTACGAACTTTGATCACTAGCTAAATTTAGAATTTACTATTTGTATATTTCATGGGAAAATGTAAAGTAATGAGTCACAAATTTTGTAGTTTAACTGGCAAACCTGGATTAGAAGAAACTTTGGAAATTGGCCCCGTGGATGATTTAGCTCAATCTGGCTAATACTTTCAGAGGAGATCTCTAGCTTGTATTCAACATCATCAAAAGAAAACAATAGGTAGATATTCTTATATGCCGTCCCGAATTTCACTGAAACATCCGATGTTGTCCAAAGCACAGAAAACTGTTCCTCAGAAGTCAGGAAGCCCGAGTGCAGCTTTACAATTTCCATGTTATGTTCAAAGTTTTCAAGCTTCTGCTTTCTAGCTTTCAGATAAGAATCCCCGTACCACAGAAGTCGATCATCGGCTAATGGAATTATCATGTCAGCATATTCTGCATGTGTGAATTCAACTATGGCAGATGCTCTTGATTTTCCATCTTTAGGCGGAAGAATCTGTACATCAGAAACAGTTGCTTTCCCAGTATATTCCTCAAGAAATTCTGTCACCGCTTCTGGAGACTCAATGGAGGAAAATCCATGCAACCGAATTGTCTTGACCATGTTGGTACTGTTGATGGCAGCATCTGCTGTTTCAGAGTACAAGTTTAAATTAATGACTCAGAACTCATTACAACTTCTTTATGCATAAACTTCAAAAGAAAAGACTATAATAACTAGTTAAAGAAGGAAGGTTGCAACCAACTGTCCGAATTTAAAAACAGAGCTGACAATATCTGGATTACAGGACAAAATATTACCTCTCTCCAGAACGAATGGTCCTTCGTGTTCTTTATAATGAATAAAACTATTGCGTAGATTTGGAAGCTCGCACATAGGTAGAAGCTCCAAACATACAGCAGAAGATTGTCCAATGCAGCATGAAGGAGTAAAATCAACTCCTCGAACCCACTGTCCGGAAGCTTTCTTGAAAAGCCGAGGAGCACCAAGTAACTAGAAAGAGAGAGGAAGAGAAAAAATATTAGCAATTGGTAAATATGATCAACCATTAGTAGAACTTAAAACAGTTATCCACGTTGTTTTTCATTTAATTTAAATTATGTTGGGCAAACCTGGATGAGAAGAAACTTTGTAAGTTGACCGTGTGGACGACGTAGCTCAATCTGGCTACCATTTTCAGGGGTGAGCTCAAGCTTGTAATCAACCGAAGCATGAGAGAAAAACAAGTAGATGTTCTTAAGTCCCACCCCAAATTTCACCAAAACATCCGGTCTTTCCCAAAGCACAGAAAACTGTTCCTCAGAAATCTTGCATCCCAAGTGAAGTCGTACAAGTTCCATGCAGTGCTCAAAGATTTCTGAGTCGGGCACGATGTCAAACTTGGATTTTTTAGCTTTCAGATAAGACTCATTGTACCACAGGCTCCGATGATCGGCTAATGCAATTATCATATCAGCAAATTCTGCATGTGTGAACCGAACAATGGCAAATGTTCTTGACTTTCCATCTTTGGGAGGAAAAAGCTTTACAGCATGAACAGTTCCTTTTCCGGTATATGCCTCCAGAAATTCTGTCACTGCTGCTGGAGACGTCATGTCCATGGAGGAAAATCCATACAACCAAATTGTGTTATCCATGATGACGGCAACTGCTGCAGTTTCAGTGTACAATTTCGTGTCAATATATAATAGTAGAAACTAGAAAGAAATCTGAAACCTGTTAAATAACAGAGCTCAAGAAAAGAAGTAAACAGAATGCAAACATAAGACAAGCCTTGCAAGCATGGTCCTCACATTTCAATTGTCAACCAAATGCAAATGAGAAAGAAAAATGTCTTTGAATTTTTGGTATGTAGGTCAACTTTGCTCTTTAAGAAACAAAGCTCATGAACCCTATATATATATATATAGGAAAAAGAAGAGCACACAGAGGTGAGAGACTGGAGGTCAAAATTTAAGTCCATCTCACACACTGTAAATAACTTGTCATGGACGTTGTAGCTAGCACGGAAAAACAGAAAGAAAAAAAAAACTTGTCATCGCAGTTTTAGCAGGGGAAAAAATAGAGGGGGAGAGAGAAGAATTAAACCTGTCAGTGGGCAGTGGCAACCTATTGCCATGGTGGGGAATCTTTTACTCCTTGATGAGGAAGGCTAGAAACAGTAATATACAAATAGAATAGACTCTTTCAATAGAGCATTTGGAGCACTTTCTGAAAGATTGTTCGGAAAGTATTTAGATGGAGCCATCCATGTGTTCCACCACACACCATCCTTGTTGGGACGGTTTTATAATTGCTTTGGCGTATATAGGACGGACTTAGGATTTTAAAATGGGGTGGGTTAAATTTATCTTATGTACACACTGTAGAATGGAATATAAAGATGCAGCTACTGCACCGTACCAATTTGTTCTTTTATTTATTTATTATTTCATTTAAAGGGATTATGTGTGACGAGGGTTATCAATGAAAGGAAAACTAGCAGTAGGCTGTTCATAATATATATATAACTAACTGAAAAGAAGTTGGTATAGGCTAAAAAAGTAAGAACAAGACGGAAATACTTTTCATTTTAGAGAGAACTTTACATAGATGTCCTGGAATAGTCAAAGAGAATTGAATTCATTAGTTCGTCTTATCTTCTTTTCATTGAGTGTATTGTTGGATGAGTTATGAGGCTCGGTTTGATGTGAGCATTTGGATGTGAGCGTGGCATGATTGTCATTAGTAGGCATGGGTGGGATAAATTAAATTTAAGGTTGATAGAATAAGGCCATCTCCAGTCATGGGCCATAGGCCAAACATAGCCCTAAAACAATGCAAAACTCATCTTCAGCCATGGGCTAAAAAAAAATTGGCCAAATTTGGAGAGCCACATTTAGCTCTTTAGCCCTCTAATCAAGCCACTTGTAACCCAGCTATAGCCCAGGCCAAATTTTTTTGTAGGTCCAACGCATGTGCTGCCCAAGAAGAGAAAGTATCATGCATGGGCGTGAGCATAGAACATCTCATGCAACTCTAGATCCAAAGGCTTATATTAAAGGCACGCTGACGTCAGCCAACCGTTACTTTTTTCTTAATTTTTTTTTCTTTTTGCATTTTAAATGTATATAAATTTTATAAAAAAATTATAAACAATTGGTTCTAACCGTTGGGAGGTCAGAACCCTTTGAAATGCATCATATTTTGTTTTTCAAAATTGTCGTTGTTGGCTTTCTTTTCTTTCTCTTTTTCTTTTTTTTTAAATTTAAAAAAAACTAAAATATGTCTATAAATACTTCAAAATTTCTTCAAAAATATTCCTACACATTTCATACAAATTCTATCACATTCTCTACTTATTCACAACTTTCCACACTCTTTTTTTTTTGTCAAATACTTTCCACTCATTTCATTCAAAAATCTTATCAGAAATCTTGTAAATGCTTATCAATGTACACTTCTCATATCTGGAATATTGTCTCTAAATAGTAGTTTAATTAAATTAAACACTACATAGTAGTAGAATATATGAGTGTTGTACCATAGTTTTTTTTCAAAATAATAAAATATTAAGGACCCTAAAATATAGCCATGGATGGATAGAGATGAACAAATTTAGCCCTACACTATTTTTTTTTTTAAAAATTATATTTTGAAGGGCTAAAATTAGCCCCATAACTGGAATAAGGTTATTCTCTTCTCTTTTTTTTTTTTTTTTTATCGAATCAGGTTAGTCCCTTCTAGGGACCGTCCCTGCTTGTGGAAGTTTTGAACCAATCATAATGTCTTGGTCCTTTCGGACAACATTGGCGAAGAATCTTATAGAATCTCACATTGCCAATAAGAACTCACGTATACTTCCCATGCTGGGGAAACTTTACTTTGCCTCTTGCTGAGCATGGTTTTGGGCCAGGGAGGAGAGAGAGCATACATAACTTGACTGAGTGAGAAGGAATCTGAATGGGTGCTCGTCTAAAAGCAGTACTAAATTTGAGCATTTTATGTTTTTTTTTTTTGTGTGTGTGTGTGAGAAACTTGCTCCCAAAGGAGTTAGAGATGGAGCCACCCACTGCTCACTATCCTAGTTAGGAATGTTTTTTCATGCAGCATTTGGGATGAAAATTTGAACAATTAATCCGCGTCCCCATTTACAGCCTATCAGAACCCATTTGAGTTCCAAAAACCTAAGAAACTTCCCTTTCTCTATTTTGTTTACTTCACCAACTTTTTTCATGCATATTTGTGTTAGTGGGACTTACAAATGGAGATGTAACAATTAATGCATATCTATGAATTTTTTTACATTTTCAGGGGAGACATAAATTTACATCTTCAATATTCCTGCCCATTGAAGCTCTAAATAGTACAACACAAACCATGAAAGAAAATGTGGAATTCATCGAATAGTACAACACAGAGAAAAAGTGAGACAGATGCATAGAGGAGGACGAGAATATGGAAACAAGAGGTTGAGAACGATGTAAGAAAAAAATTGAGAGAGATGGAGTGGATGCAGCTCAAGAGAAGAGATGTGCTGAGGTTTTTAATTAACCGTAACACTTTTATATTCTTCTTTTTTTTAAAAAAAATTTAGCTGGATAAAGCCTACTAAATACATTCATTATGCATTATTAAAACAAGAAGCATTCTTGCCTTGGTGGTTTACGGTGCGTTTGGATGAGGGAAATAAACTTGGGATTTTGACAAAAGTCATAATTTCTAAGAGCATCTCCAGCAACCACTTCAAAATAGTCCTCATTTCTAAAATTCCAAAAGTAGAGATTGAGTTTTAAACAAATATAACTTTACGTGTTTAAATTCACGTAATTGTCGTCATTTTATATTTTATTATTTATGAATTCATTTGTACTTTTAAATTTTGTTTTTTCGTTAGTTTGACCAATTTTCGGGTTGATTTTCCCAGCCCTATAGGTAGTATGTTGGGCTCAAACAAAGGTATATATATATATATATATATATGGGAAAAAGATAAATGTAATATACATTGACACAATGGTTGTGGTGGCCTATACTTCTAAGTAACCCAAGTGAACAAATAAAAATCGAATGGATCAGAAAGTTGACCTTGACTAGCTAAGGTGGGTAAACATAAACATTCTAGCCATGCACTGGTCATCCACGAT